CTCCCTCCGCGGGGGACGCCCGCCTGGCCCGGTCCCTGCCCGCCCACAGCAATCGTGGGTGACCCCGGGGCCCACGGCCTCCGCCCCCCGAGGCGGCCCGCGCCGGGTCCCTCCGACGGCCTGTAGTGTTCCAAGCCCGGGGGGGCTCTGCGCCCTCTGACCCTCCGCGCCCCCCCCCGCCCCAGTGCACCGCGCACCCCTGCTTCCCCCGCGTCCGCTGCGTCAACACCAGCCCAGGGTTCCGCTGCGAGGCCTGCCCGCCCGGCTACAGCGGCCGCACCCACGAGGGCGTGGGGCTGGCCTTCGCCAGGGCCAGCAAACAGGTGAGGGGCGCCGGCCCGCAGCACGGAGGCGGGGGGGGGGGGCGGAAGCCGAGAGTGACCGTGGGCATCTGGGGCCCCTCTCCCCAGGTTTGCACGGACATTAACGAGTGTGAGACCGGGCAGCACAACTGCGTCCCCAACTCCGTGTGCATCAACACCCGGGTAGGAGGCGCGGGCGCGGGCCGGGCGCGGGCCGGGCGCGGGCAGCCGTGGGTGACGCCCCCCGCCCCTCCCCTCCGCCGGCCCGCAGGGCTCCTTCCAGTGCGGCCCCTGCCAGCCCGGCTTCGTGGGCGACCAGGCCTCGGGCTGCCAGCGGAGCTCGCAGCGCTCCTGCCCCGACGGCTCGCCCAGCCCGTGCCACGAGAAGGCCGACTGCGTCCTGGAGCGCGACGGCTCGAGGACGTGCGTGGTGAGTGCGGGGCACAGGGCCTGGCGCCGCGGCCTAGGGGGTCGGCCACGCCCAGCACCCACTGACTCCCCCGCCCCGCAGTGCGCTGTCGGCTGGGCCGGCAACGGGCTCCTCTGCGGCCGGGACACGGACCTGGACGGCTTCCCGGATGAGAAGCTGCGCTGCTCCGAGCGGCACTGCCGGAAGGTGGGCGGGGCCGGAGAGCCCGGAAGTGGGCGTGGCGTGGACGCGACCACGCCCCTCACATCCTCCGTGCCCACCCCCAGGACAACTGCGTGACGGTGCCCAACTCGGGGCAGGAGGACGTGGACCGCGATGGCGTTGGAGACGCCTGTGACCCGGATGCGGATGGGGATGGGGTCCCCAATGAGCAGGTGGGGCATGGGCGGGGCATAGGCGAGATGAAGGGGCGTGGTCAGGGCGGGGCCCTGGCGAGGGGCGGGGCCGGGGAGCAGCAGGTCCGGAAGTGGTGTTCGCGTGCCCAGCCCCATCTCGCTCGCGCCGCCGCCTCCAGGACAACTGTCCGCTGGTGCGAAACCCGGACCAGCGCAACTCGGACAGCGACAAGTGGGGCGACGCGTGCGACAACTGCCGCGCCCAGAAGAACGACGACCAGAAAGACACGGACCGGGACGGCCGGGGGGACGCCTGCGACGACGACATCGACGGGGACCGTGAGCCCGGCTGGGGGGCGCAGGGCGTCCCGGGGTTTCCAGGCTGGCGGCGGGGGCTGGGGGGGCACCGCGCCCCGGTCCCTGGGCAGCCACGCTCGGGCCCCGCAGCCGTCCTGGCTGGACTGGGGCCTAGCGCCCGTGCTGTTCCTGCGCAGGGATCCGAAACGAAGCGGACAACTGCCCCCGGGTGCCCAACGCAGACCAGAAGGACAGCGACCGCGACGGGGTAGGGGACGCCTGTGACAACTGTCCGCAGAAGGACAACCCGGACCAGGTGAGGGCCCCGCGCGGGAGCAGGGCCTCGGGGTCCCAGCTGCGGGCTGTGGCGCCGCGGGGCGCGCACACGGCCGTGCTGACCCCGGGTCCTGCCCCTGCCCCTCCAGAGGGACGTGGACCACGACTTCGTGGGAGACGCGTGTGACAGCGACCAAGACCAGTGAGATTGGGCCGCGGGGGCGGGCGGCCGCGGCGCTCAGTCCCCCAGCGGCGCTCACCGTGTCGGTGCCCCCTCCACTCCAGAGACGGCGATGGGCACCAGGACTCCCGGGACAATTGTCCCTCGGTGCCGAACAGCGCCCAGCAGGACTCAGACCACGACGGCCAGGGCGACGCATGTGACGAGGACGATGACAACGACGGAGTCCCCGACAGTCGGGACAACTGTCGCCTGGTGCCCAACCCGGGCCAGGAGGATTCAAACGGTACCGCAGGGGCGGGGCCCGTCGGTGGGAGGGGGCGGGGCCCATCGGGGGCGGGGCGGGGCTGGCCGCGGGGCTGGGGGGGAGAGGGGGGCTGTCGGGGCGGGGGCCGTCACCAGGGTCGGCCTGTCACCCACTCCTCCCAGGGGACGGCGTGGGAGACGTGTGTCAGGACGACTTCGACGCCGACAAGGTTGTGGACAAGATTGACGTGTGTCCGGAGAACGCGGAGGTCACCCTCACCGACTTCCGGGCCTTCCAGACGGTCGTGCTGGACCCGGAGGGGGACGCGCAGATTGACCCCAACTGGGTGGTGCTCAATCAGGTGCGGAGGGCTGCAGGGCGGCGGTGTCGGGGTGCCCAGGACCCCCACCCGCAGGGCCCGGGCGCCACGGTGGGTCCGAGACCTTCTTTTTCCTTTGGCCGTATCAGGGCATGGAGATCGTGCAGACCATGAACAGCGACCCGGGCCTGGCCGTAGGTGAGACCCTGCGAG